GGATTATTTTAGTACGCTATTTTGTGACTGTGACGAAGGGCGTTTTATCATTGTGTAAATAAGCTTAAGTTATGTGCTTGGTAACCTCAACCTTACTGGATGCCTGTAGAATACATTCTCCACGCCTTGCTTTAGCAAGCGGGGCCTGGGACAATCGGATTAATATAGCCTATCGTGTCACTGCATAGTTGATCTTCTTTCCGTTTATCGAGTAAGGCGAACTCGGAATAGCCGCAAGCATATCAGTAAATTAAATTATTACGGTCATCTAGTCAGATTTTAATTCATATTAGATTGATAATCATTTAATCATTGGTTTTCTATTTTTGTTATTAACGTCTTTTTATTATAATCTAAATGTTTTGTACATGTCTTTTCATTGAAATATATAAACTACAAGTTTTGAAATTTTTCACAAGTCTGTTTCATTGCATCAACTGACCATCTCTGTAGCCATACCATATCTGTTTTATTGCGAATTAATGCGAACATAGTATTTACAAAATCTCATACTATGTTGTTGTTACAAAAGGAAGAATATTGCAAACGGACATATGTCATCAACGTATGACTTATCAAAATGTCAAAGTCCCCTACCAATCAATTGCTATTAGTCATAGTTTGACTTATTTTAACATTTAAAATAGTTAGTAGGTAAAACACTACAGTTTCAACTTATTCTGCTTAATAAGTTGCTATTCATACATTTGAACCTGATTTCATATAAAAGATTTCTTGAAATATTTCATTACCACAATAATATTTATACGGTTTGATGAAGCTTCAATCAATTAATTTTTTTTTAACATATTCAATTAATACACCGTTTGTTCTTTGCATTCATTATATATTCAAATTGTAATAATAATTGAATTCATCAAATTTATGTATACCACCTCTTCGACACACACATTTATTTCACCATAGATCTTGTCATCTCCTCCTTCTAGATCACTTTCATAGACATTTTGTAAACTATTATTCTCATCTCATACATAATAGTTAAACTTCTTAATCATCTTTGTCCGTGTAAATCATCATGAATACCTGTTTTAATTCGGTAGTATTATTATGTATGTTTTTTTGTTTTTAATTTGACAAAAAATTTCAAAAGCTGACTAGAATTTACATGAGAAATAATGAATTCACATTAATTCTATGAATAAAATTTCTTATAACCCCTAATTCTAACTTGTTATTGTTATTGTTTGATACTGTTTTTTTTTCTTTATTATAAAAAAAAATATATAAAACAGGTCTGGCAAGTAGATGATAATAAATTTGTCAATAGTTTACAAGAACATGAAGATGGTGTAACATGTGCTGTGATATCAGGTTCTGTGATTATTTCTGGTTCATATGATAAAACTGTTATACTTTATGATTTCGATGTAATTTAAGCAATATTATCCTGTTATTATTATTATTATTATTATTATGACTATTGACATTTGTACATATCATATCATATTATTTAATCATTGGTTTCTTTTTCTATTCCTATCATAGGTTTTTTTTTGTTTTAAATAACCTGTTTGTTTATTTTGATTTTCTTTCTTTCTTTCAAAAATCACTGTGTACTGGATATAATCTTAGTTGTTAGTAGTATCTAATTGACTTAATTCTGCCAGTTGCTGTATTTCCTCTCTATTTATTATAAATTTTAGTGCTTTTCTACTTTCCAGACTGTGTTAAATTTATCCTTATATATATATATATATTGGAAATATAGCTTCTAATTTATGGAACTTTAAACTGTAGATATTCTAAATTGTTATTATCGTTATTAACTGTTTGTCACTAAATAAACAATCTATCCTGAGTTTCATGATTTATGACAAATTTTAAGTATTTTATTTTGAATTCCCCAATGACTAAACCTTTTTTTCTCATTGATTTAACTTGTGTTGACCTTATTATTTAATAAAACGTCTTGGTTCGATAAATTTTCATTATATCATGCTTCAAATGTTTTGCATATTTATTCTGAAATTTCCATCTAGTTCTTTTAGTTTAATGTTCAGTTACAACTGCAGGAATGTGTCTCCTGACCGTAGCTGCTAGATTGACGCAATGGTTGGGCTTGCCTATCGTGATGATCCAATCGAGCTATAATGGCTGGAACATATATTCGCGAAGGTTATACCATGCCAGGCAGGTCGATTGGAGAACGATGAGACTAAAAGCAGCTACTCAAAGTATGAGGGTGAAGTTATACTGCTGACTGCAGAGGGGTATGACAGCAGTAAGGTGTTTCCCTCGGACAACCAGCATCTGCAGCGATACTGCCTTCTCACAAGGAAGGAAGGGTGAGATAAGGTGTCCCCCCTAAGGGCTTTTAAGAGCGGAGCTAACACTGGAATAACCTTTCATCAAAAGGCTGTGCGTGACCGGCCTCAAGCGGTTGTCCCTTGGACTCTGCGGTCACGCTCCCACGTCGTTAAGACCAACACTAATCTATCTTCCTTTTCAGGTTCCTCTAGAAACAACCTTCCACGGTGTGGGCAGCCGGGAAGTGACAACCGCCCTCATACCCGTAACAACACACGAGACCAAATTGGTCAAAATCAAGTCCTTCGTACATCCCCTAATATCTCTATTCTCTCCACGACTAGCTTTTCTCACATTCCTTTATCACAATGCACAGCTAATGTAAACGATACGAGTTCACCAAACGTCATTCCTGGTCTCCTGAAACCTCGTTCTAAATACAATGTTGGAGCATATAATGTACGGACATTGTGTCAAATACGGCAACAGGCTTCATTAGCCAGGATTGTAGAATCTTGCGCCATCGATGTATTCTGCGTCTCAGAAACGTGCATGAAGGATCCTATTAAAGTCAATAAATTGATTTCACCTTGTCAAAACAAAGAAGCAGCTCGATTTGCTCTTCTTGTATCCGTGTACCCTGATACTGCTTCTCGAGCTCTCGCTAGCGTAGGTATAGAATACAGTCTTAGGGATGAACTGTTTCTCCTAGACTGGATTACAGTAAGTAGTCGCTTGTGCGCTATCCAACTAAACGGGACGGTAATTACTCGTAAAGATAGGGACACTCACCGTTGCCTCTTCGTTTTATCTGCCTACGATCCCACTAACTGCAGTTCAGACGAGGTGAAAGGTGAGTTCTACAGAAAGCTTTCAGACCTACTACAAAACATTAGGCACTCTGACGTAGTAATAATGGCTGGTGACTTTATTGCTCAAGTAGGTAGACTAAGTGAAAATGAAAAACACCTTGGTGGATCTTATGGTGTCGCGGCTCAGAGAACCACTATGCTTAGATAGCCTCTTATTCCTAGAGAACACTAACGTTAGGCATAAGGAAAAACATCTTTTGACCTGGCGACCTCCAATGTCGTCACAACGTTAACCCAGTAGGGGACTGTCACTCATTCTGGGGCACATGTTTAGATTCAGATAATGCCTTAGTGCGAGCGCACATTTTTTTGCAACTTACTGGACGTAGGAAAGCCAACCCAAGCAAACCTTTTAGGGTTCTACTTAATGATAATAAAGCTAAGAATATATTTCGGGAACAACTGGAAAAACGGTTAGGCAACCGTGTAAGTGTTTCCCATCAGTAGGCAGGTTGGAATGATATTAGGAAGACTGTGTGAAGTAAGTCTATGAAGAAGGCATGGATCTCAGCAGCATCTACCGAACTGATGGATGCTCGAAAGCTCATCCCATCTGGCTCTGAAAATGATGAAGAGTGAATTTAACTTCAGCGCAGGCTGATAAAAAGCCTACGCAACGACCACGAACAGTGGTTGGTGGCGAAATAAAAAGCTATGGAAAAGGCAGCGGCGATTCACAAAAGTAGATAACTTTTCCGCCTTATAAAGCAAACTGGTATTAGAAATCCATCCGGTAGCGAAACTATCTCAGACAAGGATGGTTGTATCATTCATTGTCAATCCAGGAGGTTGGATCGTTGGGAAGAACACTTGAGGTATCAGTTCAACTTGTTTTCTGCCACTCTTTGGTTGCACATGATCTACAATGTCGGGGATGTTAGATCCCCAGAACTCGCTCGATTAATATCTTTATTTTGGCCTATTTTCATGGACTGATCAGGTGACTTTGAGGAAAATTCCTGTCTAGTATTGGTTGCTATCATTTTAGTGTGCTATTTTTGCGACTGTCCCAAGGACGTCTCTATAGAGTATAAATAGACGCAATTTGAGTGCTTGGATTCATTGTGTGCTGTCTGGGTGTTTGTAGAATACACTTTCTATACTATATCAAGACTTCTCGCTGATATCTTTAGGTCGATGGATCACAGTAGCCTACGTGGACGCTGGTTCATTGTTTTTTTATCTTTATTCAACTCAGATGAATTCGTAATAGTTTAGGCATACCTAGAGATGAGCGTAACCATTTGGCGACGGCCTTTTGACGAACGATCTGGTGAACTATGATGGATGCAGCTAAATTAGATGGATCGTTTGCACAACAGCTGAAATTGATGGATATACTTACTCAGACGCACAGCTCTTCTCAAGTCTCATCTACACCGACAATTCTTCAGTCAGTCGATGGTATGACCTGTGGTATTTTAGAGTTTCTTTATGATCTTGACGCCAATATTACATTTGATACTTGGTTCAGGCGTTATGAAGACCTCTTCAAAGTTGATTTTGCTGACTGAGATGATTCTTTGAAGGTGCGTCTTCTCCTTAGAAAACTTGATCTATCAGAATTGGATCAGTATTGGAACTAAATCATACCGCAGAACCCTCGCGACTGATCATTCGATGCTACTGTTCGGTCCCTCAGCAAACGTTTTGGTGATCAGCACTCTCTTTTCAACACTCGTTTCCGCTGCTTAAAACCGTCCTGAATGAGTCCGATAACTTAATGACCCATGCTGGCATTGTCAAACTCAAATCTATCACCGATGATCAATTCAGATCCCTCATATTCAATGCAGTCTTTAATCACCTATGCTTTCCGACATCAGAACTCGGTTGCTTAACCTTTTTGAACAAGATCCAAAACAAACACTCGATGATATCACTGATGAGTACCAACACATCAATAACATGACAAAACTTTGGTGCAATCTGAGGGCCGGTGCGGTCTAGAAGTTCACGTTATTCACCAGCAGTTACCTAACGATAATTAAGGTGCCCATGCTACACCCAGTTCATCCCACTCCATCTCAGTCCAAAATTCGAAAACGAATCCTACTACACCTTGATGGCACTGCGGCTCATGGCACTATGTACGAAACTGCCCATTTAGGCAGTATCAATGCAGGAAGTGTAAGGTCATCGGTCATAAAGATAGCTTTTGCCTAAAGAGAAAGCCGAACCGATCCAGAAGTGCCAAGACGTCTGTTCCTAGATCCGGTACCAACGCATTGAGCTAATATCTTCCTTCTAAAGCTCATTACCAGGTGAGAGGAAATTCATTACTCCTAATATTAACGGGCATTTGTGTAGATTGGAAATAGATACCGCATCTGATGTCACTATCTTCTTACGAAAAAGTTGGATGAAATGGGGCAGCCCAGGCTTGCAGCACACAACACAGAAGCCTCGTACAGCATGCGGTAATTACCTTCGTTTGTTAGGATAATTGGAATGTAAAGTTACCTTCCGAGATTTATCATTTATTGGTGTATGTTATATAACGCCAGCTGATCTAAATTTACTAGGTTTAGAATAGTTCGACCAGCTAAAATTGGCTAATATCCCGTTAAATACCACATGCTACTAGGTATCAACACCACATGACCCAGATGCACATACGAGGAATCTCATGACGGAGTTTCTAACCATTTTATAACCTGGATTAGGTCGGCGTACTGCCATCAAAGCAGCACTTCGATTGGAACCTGCTTTCCGTCCAAACAGACCCGTGCCTTATGCAACCTGTGATTTGAATAGCGTCAAAGCGAGCAACAGAGCACTTCTCAGTAAGAGATCAGACGAAGTGTAGAGATTAAAACTTGGTAGCAATTGAGTGACAAAAACTGCTCCTCAAGTGCGAAAGTCAATACATGGCAATCACGAAACGCGGAGAGGTTTATATCACGGATGGAAACACGGGTCAGATGCAGTGTATTCAGTAGGCGTCAGTAACGAAGTATGTATATTTTCAACCGAAATTTTGGGTTCATTTTAGATCGAAACCCCAAGGCTTGGAACTAAAATTATCCCATTTTATCTTTATAGGCAGGTTAGTGATTTGTTTTATTTCAGGGAGAATCATACCTCATTATACAAGTTTCTGGTTATTCTCAACGTTTAGTAACACCTTCGTATGAGTCATGACTTGTTATACACACTTAGCTCCATTTCGGCTTTTATATATTTCACGGTAGCTACTACTGTCAGAACAATCAGTAACATGTCATGAAATATAATCAGCACAACTATATATATTC